AGAACATGTGGCGCAACGGACGAGTTCCTTGTGTGGGTAGGAGTCTACCAAGGATCCGCATTTCTGTTCTCGATGGCGACAAACACGATAACTGAGGATCTGCGCGAAGCAGCCCTATACTGCATGGCATTATGCAATGCAGAGAAGCTGTAGAATCAAAAACCGAGGCATGGAGAACAGCTCTTGAGAAATACAGTCTTCGATTCAGCAAAGGCAAGTCAGAACATATGGCAGACTATTTCAGTCGGGGGGGGGGCAGGTGGAATGCCGTCAAACCAGTGAAAATAGTGGAGGTTGCTGCCTAAACGCAAGAATTCAACTACCCTGGTTCTGTTCTGAAAGATAATGCAGAAATCGACAGCGAGGCAAGAAATCGGTAGAAAAAAGCTTGACTCAAATTGAGAGAAGTGAGCGAAGTACTGTGCGACGACATGAAGACCAATCAGACAGAGAGGGAAGGGGTACAGAAGGATAGTAAAACCAGTGCTTCTGTACAGAGCGGAATGTTTGTCTACCTTGAAGAGATACAGGCAACAGCTGAACTCGGCAGAAATGCAGATGCTCAAATGGATATGTGGTGTCAACAGAGAGGACCACATCCAATACAGCTCCATAAAAAGCACTCTAGAGGTTGCATTAATTTCACAAAAACTTATTGAAAGCAGGCTCCGTTGATTCGGTCACATGTAAAGAAGACCAATCGAGTACGCTGAAATGTGGTCAACGCAATGATACTTCTGGAAAGAAAAAAAAAGGGAAGACCGAAGAAAAGGCGGCGCGATGTCGCCAAGAACGACTGGAAACTGTGCTGAGTTTTTGAAGATCTGACAGAGGGAGGTGGGGGTTTAACAAGAAAAATGTGGAGGAGGTTCACTCCAGTAACACACCCTTGTTAATGAGAATATGCTAGGAAAAAGAAGGTCAAATAAAGATGGACAAACTGCTGAAATGCGCTCCATACAAATCAAATTCGCATTTCTTTATCGTTCAGAAATTCCGTTTCGAAAATTAGGAAAAAATTAATAATTTCATAAGAACAGTTCACCACGAAAAAGATTATGACACTGTTTCTTTCCGAGGACCATTCAGATAAAAACTGGGCACCGAGTCATTGAAATTATTTTTTCTGTTCTCTGTTTCAATGCCGACTAAGAGTTCCACATCTTCCCTAAACCTCGAAGAGCGATCAGCGAGATTCCTTGTTAAAATAAGTATGTTCGTTGCTGTTGAAGAAACATGTTGATAGAACATAACATGTTCGCAGGAATAGTTTTTTTTAAATACTGCCACAATCATGAAAGTACATAATGAACCTCAGGGTGGTCAACTTTTGAAGAAACGATCACCAGGAAGCTGATATTTTCATGTCTTTACAGCGAACTAGATTACTGCAACGAAGAAGCGACTATCTGAAAATACCTGAATAGTAAAGACGACAAGGAGCAGAAAGATGTCCCTTTCAGAACAGATAGAAGATGAAAATGCTCCTTTCTCGGAACCCTATCTTGTGCTTGAAACGGAAAGTATTGGACCAACACCACGGAAGTGTTCCGAGTATAGCATGCGGATGAAAAACTTCCCCTTTAAGCATGAAAACTCTTCCAAAACTAACAAAAAAACATACCATAAAAATATGCATTTTGGGAATAACAAGGAAACGCAGAAACACGAATGAATAAGTGCGCAAACAGCTGTGTGCGGTGTCATTGCATGAGTGAAGAAGTAAAATGGCAAATGGCAGAAGACGTTACAAGAAGGCTGCAACAACTGAACCTCCCTGAATCAAAGAGTCCTACACTGAACTTCAAGAGAGAATAAACGACACGTAGGAAGACCTTCAGATCTGTCGCAGGATTAGCTGAAGAATTTCGCTGGATCAAGACAGATGAAAATGACAGATAACAGAAGCAAACGTATGGCCAAGTGTTGCAGGCACTTGGCATTCAGGAATCCAGGAGAGGATCCACAAAGGTTGAAGGTGATGATGATGACGGTGAACTAGCTTCTGATAAGCCACTCTAACAAACCTGAAAGATGGGACTGGATAGCCACCTTGCGTGTTAGTCCAGGAAAAGAACATAACAAAACTTTTTCATCAATTTCTTCGTGTGCCCTTTGAACAGCGACAGCGTCACAGCTCATAATTAATAATAAAATACGATTACAGTTCAGAGTGGTAAAATACACTAACATTTTTACTAGAAACCACGTTTATGGCAAGGAATTAATGTATCAAACGAACTACAACTGCCTAAACATCATTCAAAACATACACATCTAAAAATTTTTTTAACACTGTAGAGGAAAAGAAATACGCTTCCGTCAATCGTCGGTCAGGTCATGTCATTTAATATAACGACTGACTCAAAGAGAGCGCCGAAGAACAATCATACGTCTGCTGCAAACCCCTGGAATGCACCCATCCTGGACACTGGTCACCGCTCGAGTAGAACTTTCGCGTCGTCACGCTGAAATACGGCAGAAGTTCGTTGGCATCTACAGCTAGAGCCTAAACAACAACAATATTATAGCTATTCAAGATCTACGATTTACAGCACTGGCACGTACTTTCAAATAGATGCAGGCGTCGGTACCGTAGCCATCAATAGGAACCAAAAACAAATCACCATGAAAATACCAGGCATACAATCTCGATAAAGGAAGCCCGTAGCCAAGTCCAGCCTGAAATTAAAAGACATATAGCAAATACCGATCTGAACATCAAAAACTGGAGAAAACCGAGACTGCTACCATTGGCGATGAGTCATTCCTGGATGGTTTTGGAGCTGTGGTGTAGGTATAAGAAAAAATTTTGTCAAAAGCACTGCGCGGAATACCACCTCCTCTATCCTGTACCTATAAAACAACTTTATCGTACTTGTTCAACGCAATAAAAAATAGAAAA